CAGCCATGGAGCCAACCGGGTGACCTTGGGCCAGTCACAGACTCTCAGCCCAGCCTACCTCACAGGGTTGTTGTTGTGGGGATAAGATGGAGGAGAAGATGTAAGCTGCCTTGAGCCCTTGTAGGAAAAAGGCAGGATATAAATCGAAAAATAATAAAAATAAAAATAAATCAATTCCTCCGGGAACGGCCCCGCACTGCCTCAACGGGCATCCTGCCTGCGCCCATGGAAGCCAAGCCCTGCGTTTGATTCCCGGACCAGGGGGGGGTGAGAGAGGACCCCCGCCCCCATCCAAGGCAAGCCCATAAACCACGGCGCTTTGCACATGCATGTGAGATAGGGGCTTCTCCGCTGGAGGCGGCATCGCTGCCTGGACACAAAAGATTGCACAGAAATTCCATCAGCTCGTCGTGCCTTGGCGGGAATCCATGAATCTTTCATCGGCTCGTCGAGCCTTGGCTGAAATCCATTAATCTTCCATCGGCTCGTCGTGCCTCGGCATTAATGCATTGGTCGGTCGTCTGCTCATCTTGCCTTGCCTGAAATCCATTAATCTGCCATCGGCTCGTCGTGCCTTGGTGGGAATCTATTCATATTCCATCTCCTCATCGTGCCTTTTTGACACGAATTGATTAGTCTTGCGACTTCGACTTTGTAGGGTGTTCGACGAGTGAGAGTATTTTCAGAGGGATTAATGGTAATGTGTCCTTTACTGGATTTCTTTTTTAATTTAAACATTCACCTTTTTTAACCACACCTTGTTTACAACCTTGAACTTAATCCATTTCAGGAGGCTGTATTTGCTGATTAGGTTTACCAAAATGGGGATTGTTTAGGGTCTGGGCACGGATATACTCCCTTTGCATTATTTCTAATTTCCGGCAGTGGCCACGGAAGGGTGCTCCAGGCGCACTTTGATGCCCCCGTTGCTGAGCTAGAGCCACTCTGCCCCCCCTCCCCGGCTGCACGGAGCCCCCCCATTTGGGAATATCGGCGACAGAGCCCTTTTGCCCCCCTGGGAAGCGGGCTGGGGCTGGAACTGCTGCAACTCTTTGTGGTTGCCTCACTCCAATCCGGCTCTTCACTTTCATAGCTCTAGACACTGGCCTGCATGGAGAAGGCCACTCCCAAGGTGGCTGCCGGGCAAGGCCCCTCTCTGGGCCGGACACTCCCAAGATGGCTTCCTAAAGGTGACGTGAGGCTTCTTGCTGCCCTTTCTGCCTCCTGCCATGGCCATGTGAGGGAGGGGAGGGCTACTCCGCCCCATCTGCGAGGACGGGGTGGGGGGTCCCGCTGCCCCCCATGTCTCGCCCCCCACCCCCAGGCAGGGGGCCCCGGCCCCTCCCTGGACGTCCGGACAGTGATGCCGCCCTAGCGGAGAAGCCCCGATCGCACGTGCAAAGCGCCCTGGCTGGTGGGCTTGCCTTGGATGGGGGTGGGGGTCCTCCCTCCCTGCCCCCTCCCCCCGATCCGGGCATCTGGCGCAGGGCTCGGATTCCATGGGCGTAAGTAGGGTTGCCTTCTACAATTGTCTTCTATAATTGTCTTCTACAGTTNGGGCTTCGTGCAGCCGGGGATCCCGGTGTGGCTCTACGCTCAGCATCGGAGGCGTCAGCGGCGCGCCTCGAGTGCCCTCCTGTGGCCACTGCCGGGAATTGCGGCCTGAAGGCTTTCACTGGAAATGCAAACGTTAACCTGGTCCTTTTTATCCCATGTGGTGGACTTGTCGTTAGGGAAAAATCTCTTGGGCTAAACTACAGAAATGGCTTGAGGAAATGTTACAAAAATCTTTAATAGTTAAACCTGAAGTCTTTTTATTAGGCATTGTGTCTGATGACGTTGACAAACAGGCAACCTATTTGATTTACGTGTAGTGATGACTGCAGCAAGGATTGTATTTGCCCCACATTGGAGGAGTGAAGAACCACCTTCTGATGAACTGATTTTTAAAAAGATCCTGGATTGGGCTGAACTGGACAGGCTGACTTTGTCTCTGAAGGAGAAAGAGGATACATACTTCTGTCAAACCTGGAACTCTTTTTATTACTGGCTAGAGAAACGGGACTGTGCGCAGATTTGAATATGTCTATGGATTGGTAGAAAAAAAATGGGGGGGGGGCTGACCTGTCCTGCCCCGCAGGGTCGTTGTTGTGAGCATCAAATTGGGCCAAGCATTGTGCCAGCCGCCTTGAGCTTCTCACAAGAGAAAAAGGCACGCTACACATGGCGTATACACGAGCCTCTGTCTGCACACATTCTGCACCTCTCGTAATGGTGATCGATAATAAAGCAGTAGCCTTTTTAGAGACTTCAAGGTCCAACAGCCCTCGAGAAGACACGCCTTCCACTCAGCAGCCCCCGCTTTCTGCAACAGCGCCGCAGATGCATTTGCACACTCAATGCAGGGCTTGTCTTGTTGGTCCCCGACCTTTCCTCTGGTAGTTCATTCTATTTTTCTCCCACCATTTTAATGTATCATTGCTTTTAAGCGTGATTTTATTGTGCATGGCTGGATGCTTTGCCATTTCATCAGTCCTTGTTGTAAAGCGCTAGTAACGGGGCAGGGTATGAAAGCTGACTCGTGACACCGGGCCTGTGTCGCGTAGTCCACAGGGTGGGCTGCAGCGGGCAACGAAAGGGAAGGGCAGGAAGGCCCCTTCCTCCGGCTAGCGCCCTTTCTTGCCGTGCCGCAGTTAGGACACGTCACAGAGCTGACGCGGCAAAGTCAACACGACAGGAGCCCGGCAGGTGAGAGCGGGAAAATGAGGAGGGGTTCAGAATCAGCAAAGCGTAGCACACAGGGAATCCGCAGTTTACAGCAGGGGCATGAGTCTGAAATCACACGGTGACAGTAAACGCCTGAACCCAGTGCAAAATAAAGCAAGGGAAGTCGGCAGAGGTGGGATACTGAATGGACTCTTTGTACTTACAGTTTAGGAGGAAGAGGTTAAAATAAAATCATTCACTAACAAGGGGCCATCCAGCCCCAAAGATATATTACAAGTTCAATGAATAAAAGCTTATTTGAAAAGGAAACGTTCAGCAACGTTGAATTTACAACTTCGTTGTGAGGGGTCACCCCCGCCCCACGTCTGCCAAAGGCCACCCAAGCTCACAGTGCGAATGTATACAACTCTGCAGGCTCGGTGACGGTTCGTGCAGCGGCTCTCAGACACAGGGGCAAAGGCAGGACATCCCTGAGAATGACAGAACCTGACGCCAAGGGCACGGCTCTCTAATCTCATGAAGCTCGGCCGCTCCAGTGAAGCTCTAGTTACACCAGCTCAGACCACATCCTCAGGTCCTACGTGGGCCTTTGTTTTTCTGGGTGGCTCCAAGGTGAGCGAGTTCACAGCCAATTTTAGGCCTCACCAGAAAACCTCACGCCATGATTCAATACTAATTTCTAGAGATGCGGTGGCACAGATCGGATGGCCCGACAGAGCAGCTCCCCTTCAGATTTGAGATACGGGCCTGTGTTTCAGTGGGACAAGGTTTATTTCGGCGAGGGCTGAAGATTTCTGCCTCGGGCAAAATGACATGAGAAGCTGCAAAAATAACCGCCGAGGAAAAATCGGCTCCAGAGCAGGCTTCACACCGTGACGTTCACTTGCTCGCTTTCAACGAATCACTCAGCAGGCTGCAGAGGAAGTCCCCGCGTTCATCCAGGAGGGCGGTGGGTCCTGTCTCGGACTCCATTCAGGTGCGATGCGACCCGTGGGTCCCCCGTTTAGACGGCGGGTTTCTCCTTCTCGGCACGGCTAGCGCCCCGCCGACGGTCCCACGCAGCTCCTTCCTGGCATCGGCCTCACGAATGACGGGACTGCCAGCATCTCCCTGAAAGGTCAAAACGTAAGAGGGGTGGTTAGTATTGTCCAGTCGTCATCAGCACAGGCTGCGCAAAATCACAGGCTGGACAGCGGTGGAGCAGGATCACGAAGGGTGAGGGAAATGAAGCGCGGTGGAAGCCTACGCGTGTTAAGCCACGCGTGTTCCCCCAGCCCGTCGCGGGACCATGGGAATTGCAGGCGCTCTTCCTGCCTGCACACGTGGGGGGCTGCGCCCAAAGCAGTCTGGAGGACTGTGGCACTGCTGTTTCTCTATCTGGGGGGGTGGCCTCCTTCTACCTCCCGGGACCTGGTGCACGGAAGGAGTGACGGCAGCTTCGGCAGGTACGTCAGGGAACCTGTCCCCGCCCAAGTCACTATTAAAAGGATGCCACGTCGGCAATGTCAATGGGAAAGATTCAAGGGAGGTGCNGGGGGGGTGGCCTCCTTCCACCTCCCGGGACATGGTGCACGGAAGGAGTGACAGCAGCTTCGGCAGGTACATCAGGGAACCTATTAAAAGGATGCCACGTCGGCAATGTCAACAGGAAAGATTTAAGGGAGGTGCCAGGGGGCATCTTCCTCACACGGGCTGCGTCCGCAGAAACAATTCTGATGCCAAGGGCTTTGGCAGCAGCACATCAGACACTCACTTTGCGTGAATCAGCCTGTCTGCCGCTCTCCATCTCCAGCAGAGAACACGTCGTCGATCACGGTCTGATGCTCGTCGTTTCTCTGATGAACGTTCTGGGAGATCAAGTGCCCGGTCGGTGTCCTCGGGGCCCTGGAGCAGTCAACCCCAGATGCAAACGAGACGTGGCCTTCATGTGAGACTCTTCCCGGGGCCCTCTGAGGTGGACCGTCCACTGCATGGGGGAAGACTAAGGAAGAACGTCGGCCTCTACCCCACCAAATGATTTCGTGCTCAACATTGCGCTCCCCAATTTAACTCAGACAGATGGCCCCCGTCAAACAACAAAGATCGGTAAAACTGCATGCACATTGAGAACCAAAGGGAAGGGCTTTCCCAGGCGGCTCTAGCTTCAGGAGAACGACGCTGCCACAGGCCATCAAGCCGCCCTTTACATGAAGAGAGAGATGGAACATGGATGTACTTACTCCCGCGTTCTCTTCCGTAGCCAGAAACGTCGCACCAGAAATATCTCTCAGCGACGGTCCTTGAGATGGCAAACAGAAAATTTTGACAGCATGGGCCCCCCAGGCCCGCTGGCCAAAGGAAGATACGATCTATACGAAAGCTAACAGTGTCATAAAGAGGGAATGCTAAGTCAGCTTTCCAATGTGGACTCTGATCAGAACAACAGCATCTGTTCAAAACTGGCCATTCCAACTCTTTTTCAAGATAATGACCCGCGTGTGAGTGTTTGCTCCCCTCTATCCATTTTGGCCCTTCCCGGGGTTCCTCCCAAAAACGACTCGGACCTCCACAAAAGTGCAAGCCACAAGAATCGCTCAGCTTATTCTCTCTCCAGTACAGAAAATATTCATCGTACTGGAAGTGTGTTACGTAATAGTGCATAATACTAAAAAAGGGATCAATGTCAAGGATTACTGGTGAGAAAAAGGCTTGCCACATACAACCTCCTCTCCCCACTGGAGCCGCCTTGGAAGGCACTTGCAAGGAGGAAAGGGGACGGGAGACCTCCCCCCGCCCGGGGGGGTGTCACCTTTCCTATATCTGAGTCCCCTCGTGTATTTCAGAGGAGAGATGGGATGGTATAAATGAGACTTCTCAGCTCTTCTCCGCTCGAACAAGTACAGGAAATTGAATGCTGCATGTGCCAGCGGGGAAGCTTGCATTCTGGCCCTGAAACGGGGCCCGATCCCCCATCAATTCCTCCGGGAACGGGTCCGCACTGCCTCAACAGGCATCCTGCCTGCGCCCATAGAAGCCAAGCCCTGCGTTTGATTCCCGGATCGG